TCTCCCTCTGCAAGACGAGGACAGGAAAGCCCAAGGGGGAGAAGGAAAGACTCTTGCTTTGGATTTCTGCACAGCTTAGCTGATTTGTACAGGTCAAGGGCAGCAAGTTGCCTATGCCTATTGTCTTTGCCTATTTTGCAACCTTTAACTCCCTGGGCATTTTCCCCTTGGTAAAATATATTCCCCTCCTTTCTACCAGTTTGACACAGACAGATTCATCAAGCAAAATATTTGGCCTTTGCCAGGACAGGCCTCCAAAAATACTGTTGCTGAAGGGTACCCTGTCCAGCACTCACATTTGTTGTTCTGTTCCTTAGTGTATCTCTGAGTTTTCTGTTAAAGCCTCAGGAGCCAGTCACACTATGACAGAACACATTTAGAAAGGAAAGCAAAGCCTCCAAGCTGATCTCCAATACAAAAGCAGAATTTTCCTTTGGACTTTCCATTCACCCCCCCCCCCAAAATAAAACATCTTCATTCTAAATCCTATCTTGTTGTCCTGATATTCCAGCTGCTGTAAATAGCTCCTTCCAGACGACAGAAAAGGCCCTTTGCATAATCCTATCCTGGAAAAGGCACCACTAGAAAACTTTCTAAAAGTACTTCTAAAACTACTGGAAAACTATTGAATATCCTGGGCAAGTCAAGCTCAAACTACRAGCTGGCACAAGAACAAAGGTAAAGAGCTATAATTCAAGCTAACTTGTTATGAAAAACAGGCACCATGTACTTGATAGGGAATCCATAATAAATGCAAGATATTAGTTGTCATGGGTTTTACCTTGCTCATGAATTATTTGCTAGTTTTGGCAGACAAACGTTCTTATTTCTCTGAATGGTTTTCTCTTTCCATTTATTATATATGGCACCAAAGAATTAAAAAAAAAAAAAAAAAAAAAAGAAAGGAATAATCTATAACAAAAACATGCCCTTGCTGCGCTATCTATGGGGACTGAATTTGGAGTCTATGCAGGCATTAGACTGGGAACAGAAAAAGGAGGAGGGAGAAAAAAAAAAAAAAAAAAAAAAAAAAAAAAAAAAAAAAAAAAAGAAAAAAGAAAGGAATAATCTATAACAAAAACATGCCCTTGCTGCGCTATCTATGGGGACTGAATTTGGAGTCTATGCAGGCATTAGACTGGGAACAGAAAAAGGAGGAGGGAGATGGTGGAAAAAGCACAGACAGAAGAAACAAAGAAGAAGCAGAGAGAAGCCAAGGGACTTGTCTGAGCATGGAACAAAAGCAGGGACAGGGCAAGGGATGGGTTGTTCCCAGCCTGGGCAATGCCAGGYGCCAGCTGCAGAGTTCCCCTCTAACACTGGGCCAGGTACCTGCTGAGCCTTCAGTGCAGAGAGGAACAGCACGAGGAGGCCTCACGCAGAACCACAARGTCCTTCCTCACCCATAAGCTCCACCAAGGCTGGGACTCACTCAGGATGCTCTTACCTACATCAGGAGCCTGTTCTCTAATCACTGCTGAATCCTGTTACACAGCAAAGCATCTTCTCCCAGAGGTAACAAAGTGGTGATAAGAACAATCTCACCTTTTGGCCATTGCATTTTTTTTCTGTTATTTGAATAACTACTATTAATTAATTAATAAACAACAGGCASGAAATCATCTTTTACAGGCTAACGACTGCAAGATAAAACATCATCAAATGGAAGCACTAGAGGAGCAGTGCTGGACAAGACTCCCCGCAAAGCGCGTGCCCCAAGGAGTCAGACACAGAGCAAGCACCAGAAACAAGCTAAGTTCCATCCCCGAGTTTCACCCAGCTGCATCCCCTGCCTTCTGCTCCGTGGCAGCAGCTCTTCCAGCGGGACACGTAGCTGGCCCTGAAGCCACCTCGAGGAACTGTTCGTCCTCTGCACCCAAGGACACCCCAGCCTGGACTAGTGCTGCTCCCTGACACCCAGCCCCGAAAGTGGGACGAGGGGAGGCTCCAGCCTCATGGCAACACAGAGTTCAGGGAAGGAGATTCCCAGGTTTGCCGGCACCAGCTCTCCAGGGAGCTAGTAGCGCACGGACACACACATACAGCAACAGGGCCAGGGAAGCGGTTTCACGTGTTYCCAACTCGCACGATAAAACTGGAGGTGAACACAGCTGGTGTGTGAAGCGAGGAAGAGGAGGTGGGTAAAAGCGGGGGAGAAGAGCAAGGAGGTGTGAAGAGTGAAGATGGAGAGGAGAGGGAAGGAAAGAACCCATCTGAGCTAAACTGTGAAAGAGATCCAAGGAAGAGTTCCCTTCTAAGGACACAGGAATGAGGCAATGCTGGCAGAGCTGAGAGAGGGAAGTGGGGAAAAGAAGATTCAGCACAAGAACAGTTCTGACATTAAAAAGGAAAAAAAAGGGGGAGTGGGTACGCACACCCAAAAGCAAATGGAACCAGGGTCGCAGCACAGGAGAAGCCCAKAGTACAAGCCCAGTCCCTTAACTCCAATGGCAGTCACTTTATGGTCACCTTGTTTCCTGAAGGAATGACTTTTCCCACAYGGATGTCACAGGTCTATCTGGCCCCCTGTAACATCTGGCCTTCCCAGCTCATTTCAGTGTGCTCATGAGCAGGACCCGGCTCCAGACACCCCAGCACCTTTGCAGACAGGTGACCAGCTGGGGAGTGACTCCAATGTTTGCTCACCTGGGTTAAGCTTTGGGAACCTCCACTGGAAAGGGCCTTGCAAGTCCAGCTCTGCTGCTGCTTCAAGGGATCCTCCCTGCAGGACTCCTACCACCGACAGTGCCACGTGGGAGCTTCTGGGGTCCGGTGCTGGTGCAGTTTTGAGTAGCAGCTCAACTAATACCGTATGTGGTTGGCATTAACTCCAAAGGCCTACCTTACAAATGCAAAAGTCATGTACATTGGTGAATACAAGCCTGGATTCAGTAGCAGRTCATCGTGATTCTCTGTGTGACCTCAAGCAAATCGGCTGGGGCAGCCCCCCAGGAGCCCATCTGGAGGTGCTAACRTGCTCCAGGCAAGCTGCAGGGACGCGTGGCTCATGGCACGGCAGCATGGAGCTGCACAGCAGCAYGGAGCTGCACGGCCTCCAAACCCTCCACAGGCCTTGCCAGACCCGCCCTGCAAGCTGCTCCGCAGCGAGCGGGTCCCGTGCACAGCAGGCTGCCACCGGGGAGGCACTCGGGCCTCTCTGCCCCTCAGTTTCCTTGTAAAACTAAAACCATTGAGACAGGGAGGTTTCCTTGATCAAATAACATCCTCCTAGAGAAACAACACTGTCGAAACGCTGCCTGCACCCACAAGCAGCCTTTCGAGCGCACTTCAAAACGCAGCAGCGTTTCCTGCGCTTACCAAGCATCCATCCAGATCAGCAACACGACAATTTCTGTTTTGCTCTGCACTAGTCAGTTCAAAGCCATCTTCTGCAAAGACTGCAACACAGAGGAGGTTTCAGGCATAACTTTTCCAACTGAGAGATTTTATCTTCGGTCCCATTTGCTTTGAAATTCCATCTCTCTTTTGCAGCTGCCTGAAAACATCCTGGATATGTATCATATTAATAAAATGCTAATCTGTCGTAATTGAAATATTTTTCAAGCGCACATAATGAGGCAATAAGGAAGATTAATTTACAAAAGGTCACCGCAGCCAACATAAACCTCAACTTGGAGATCATAAATACTCTGGCRAAGCCAGAGGGAAAGAGACCTTGGGGAGTCTGCAGTTTCCTACAGGCTCATGCAATGCACGAGTGCCAGAACACACAAGCTGGACGGAAACTTCAGCTGYGCTCTGCAGAGCGTCGCCCGCAGCAGCCACCGGCACCGCTCCTGCCTCARCAGGAAGCAGCATTTCATAGTGACTGTGTGGTTGTGCCCAGATCCACCCTGCAGTGTCCCTGGCAAAGGGACACACGGGGTGGCGCCAAGCAGGGGGTCCGGGCGGGAGCTCCAGGCACACGAGCTGGCAGGCGCACGAGCTGGCAGATGCACGAGCCGCGCAGGCGGCAGGTTGTGATGTCCCTCCCTACCCAYCCCAGGGCCAGCGGGTTTCATCATTCAGCCAGAGAGGAACGAAAGCAGGAATTCAAAACAAGCAAGACTTCTGATTCATAGAATCACACGCTGATTCTGTGCTCGGTCGTGACTACTCCCAAGTCACCCATTCTACCAGGAGACTCACTSAGTGGCAAGAAGGTGGAAATGGTTCCCCCTGCTCCACAAGGTGCCCGCTCCTGTTCAGCAYCCTGCACCCTGTCAGGAGCACTGCTTGACCTCCCCGCTTCGGCAMCAGCCGACAGAGAGCCGCAAACCCACTCGGAGAGCAGAGGAAACCGCTCCAGCTTCGCCCCAAGCTACAGACAACTGCATCTGCCCAATCTACACGTTCTGCTTTCCAGCACCAGCCACTCATTTCCAACAGCTTCCCTGGTGCTCATGTTGGGAGCCCAAAGCCAGAAAAACAAAACCAAAAAACCCTRCTACAGTCAGACATRCCCCAGACAATTTGGTTATAAATGGATTATAAACTTTGCATAGGAGAAAACTGAGCTTATTTGTCTCTCCTTTCCCCTTCCTCCCCCGCCTTTTTAATTTTTCTTTTTCTCTTTGGTGAGAATTCAAGAATGCCCAACAGATTTGGGGGACATTTTTCAATCTTACGATACACCTTCTTAAGGCCAGCTTCCCTTAACACTGCTCTGGAAGGCCATTTACATCTTTATTTTTAATTCTCACATCTTAAATTGAAGGATAATGGGTTTGTAACAAGCAAGAGACTTCTGCTTCCTTTCATTAAAATGCATATTATTCAGTTAAAGTAGGAAAAAAAAAAGAAAGGCAAAAAACATCAAAACAAATTTCAAGCACCCTAAGTAAAAATCCCTWCCCATCTTGCTTCTGATTCTCTGCAGCAGTCATTTCACTCTGGTCCTTAGACTCATGGGATACTGGAGATCAAAATTTTGCATATTAAGCAGTGTCTCCTCTTATTTTAAAGCTCTAGATATCTTCTTCCTTACACTTTGCACCCACCTTTATATAAAGCAGAAGCAAATCCTGCTCAGGATCTCTCTGGGGTTTGGGGTTGTTGTATGTACAGAAAGGATTGACCACTCATGCACAGACTATTCTTGACATTGCTTTAGGTTGCCCAATCTTCTGCTGGAGTACGATGCCTTCAGCAAAGTTCTGGAAAAAAAAAAAAAAAAAAAAAAAAAAAAGGTAAAAATCTCTTTGCTTTTTAATTTAAAAAAAACTCCACCTTTTTTTCTTTCAGTCTTTGCAATTCTCAAAAGCAGTTTTCAATAGAAAAAAACACACCAATGTCCAAAACAGGATAGAATTTCCTACCCTGCCATCGCACTCTATCCTCTGCCCCGCGCACCCTAATGTTGGCCTGGGAAGCAGAGCTCCCAGCGCCAGCTCTGGAGCTTCAGCCCTCCACTGCCCCAGGCGTGGGCAAAGAGCACTCACCACYGCTGAGCCGGCAGCCCCGGCCCGCGCTGCCGCGTGCGTGGGAGCTGCCGCGGCCTCAGCCGGCACAGCCCAGGAAACGCTCTCCGGCTCCCTGCCCAGGGTCACTGCACAACCTGGTCGCTAGTCACGGAAGATCTGCGTTACCTGCTCTCCAAACCTACAAAAAGAAGAAGAAAACAGTATTAACCATCAGGATAGCACTATTATTTCCTATGGCATGTGTGTCTGCCGAATATTCTCCAGGGAATGCTTCAAATTCTTGTAGATAAAATGGCTGAGAACATTCACACTGAGCTGTCTTTTGCTCCATTTTCTTTTTAAAACATTCACATTGAAGCCATTTTAAATTTTTCCTTCTGGCAGCTCTACCCTTTAAGAAGAAATGAAGCAYTAAAACTCCCTAGGAAACTCTCCCCTTCCTCAGCCAGCGTAATTGATCCCTGCAGAACTCCAACTCAAGGGCTCTTCCAAGCACCTTGATTTCCAAAGCCTTCCATCCTCCCTCAGAGGCTGGTTGTACCTGGTCACATTCAGCTGCTGCCTTCAGGTGAAAAGCAACCTCTTGGCAGCAGCTGCTAATTCTTGCAGCCCTAACTCAACAAAAACTAATTGTACTTAGGAGCACCTGAAACCTTAACAAAATGGTCTTTATGCAGAAAAATTGCTCGGGTAAAACACAGCAAGTCAGGACACTTGCATATCATGCAAGGTAGGGACAGACATAAATCCCCAACGGGGTGTGAACTTCAAATTACTGCACATGCTTCAAGCCAGGCAGGTCTATGGCTTCTTGAACTGGGAAGGAGCCATTTAAAGTAGAAGAATTAGAAGGAAAAGGATACAAATATTTTAAAAGCTCTGTGAAATCAAAGCCGTGGAGGCTGGAAACCATCCACTGCAGAAAGGCTCCAGGAGAGACCGTGATGCTTATGTGCTACTCAAAATCAAAAAATTTGCTTGGAATAATGACAAAACAAAATCTTTTTTACTTTTTTCAGCAAATCTTCACGAAATTTGTTCACCGCTGATCTAGCCTGATTTGTTTGTTTTTATGACAGTTCCCCTAAATCAATGACTCCAACAGCTCCAAATGGGGCTGTACCAAGCAAGGCAAAGGCACAGTCCTAGCCAAAACAGGATTGCATTTGTTCTCCCACATGCTGGCAYGCTCCGGGGTGTTACAAATAAGGAGCAGATGGACGTGTGGATCGCACTGGATAGATCTCAAAATAGATTTTTAGCTATCCAAGACACTATAGTCTCTGGAGACTCTGAACTACATATAAGAAATTGCAACGTTCCAGTTGAATTCTATAAATATACCATCTTTACTGGCAAGCAAATACATTTTATACTTATATTTAGTTCATGTTCACATTCAGAGTGACTGTTGCTGTATTTCATGTGACAATAGGACAACTATTGTGTTTGGCTCATGCACTGGGACAGACAAATCACAAAACAAATCTAATAGAGATTATATGGACAGCTAGAGATTAATCACACACATACACAAGTTAATTATTCAGGAGAAAAAAAACACAGAGCATACATGAAGCCAGATGCCTGGTTAATTAMATTACATGTACTACTTGCCCAGCAAACTAATGATCCAGGGAATCAGATCTACGACTTGTTGAATCAGATCTATTACCCACCAAATCAGATACATCGTCTCTTCAAATAGAAACATAATTTCTTAAATCAGAAGCAATATATTGCCTTATATGTTATACAACACGATGAGCTATATTAGATCTATGCTAGCTGAAGTGAACATCCCAGGAGCCAAAAGTTGAATTATCAGCCAATAGCTACACGAGTAAAGATGCTTCTCTGTAAGCAAGGAAAAATCACACAAAATKTGGAGGGCACTAATGCCCCAAGCATGCGCTGCACTCACCCTGTGGACATGGGAACTACGTGCACCTTGACACATCACAAAAAGAGCTTCTAAAATGATTTATGGTATGGAGGGAAAAAAAAAAGATAGGCAGCTTTATTAATGAGACACCAGGAAGCCCAAAAGACAGCTAAGAATCTAAAACACGTTTAATAGAGGAGATTTCAGGGCGCAGATACATATTTGACAAGGACATAACAATATCTGGAGGCTAAAACCCTGAAATAATGCACAAACCTTTAAAAATTAAACTAATGAACCAGTGAAACTGTGCTACTAAAGATATGAGTACTCTTCATCGTTTCATGTCTTTAGCTCAAGGGTGGAAGTTTGAAAGTTCCATTCTGGACTAACCCAAGGTTATGTGCTAGAAAGAAACACGACGGCCCCACACTTCTAGGGCAGGATGGGGGAAATCCCTGTATGTTTTAAACATGAGAAGTGGCATAAATGCTCCCGTGGCACTTGTGATTTGGATTTCCTTATGGGACACAAGGTGTCACCTCCCGCATGGGGATCGCCTGTCCTCGGCGGCAGCTCTGGGTGCTCGGGGCAGCTGTGCAGCGTGGCGCCCGCGGAGGTTTGACACCGCAGATGCTGCTGGACGCGCTCCCCGCGGAGCTGCAGCCAGGCACCCGGCACRTGCCGGGAAACTGGAGCAAGCTGGAGCGCCCAGACCCGCGCAGCATCAGCACGGGCCGGGGGGCTGCTGAGCCCCACAGAACCACGAAGGGATCAGGGTGCTGCAGGCTGCGCCTCGCCAACGAGCATCCTCACCTCTCAACACGCGGAGCCCCCAATATTCGCGTGCTCTTCTGCGCCACGAGAAACAAACCTCTCCCGAGTGCTCACAAGCACAAGCGCCACGAGGGACAACAGCCGCCAGAAGCAGTTACGAACCCGAGGTGCTTGTAACGATTTCCTTCGAGTCACAACGCATCATATCCACGCAACAGGGCATGGAGGCATTGCTAATGACTGCGCAGCCTGCCAGCGTGCAAGATGCTGCGAGACTCTGTGAATTAAACCCCATTATTGTTCTAAATTATAGATAAATTTCTCCCTTTGCTTGGTGATATGCAACATATTTTTTCTTCGGGGGGAGTTAGATCGTGTCAGCACAAATTATTGCTTTCCGCACAGTGCAGATGATGGAACCAGAGGCACTAAAGGAGCTGATGAAAACCAAATACGAATAGACAGAAGGAACTGCTTCCCTTGACATGGAAATAACCAATTTTGCGGTGGCATGATGGGTAAGGCGTAGAAGAGGACTGCAATTTGGGACATTGAAACAGYTTTAAGAGACTCAGATCATTAAAAAGCAAAATTCAAGTTCAATTCTTGCTCTAGATTACAAAGGGGAAAAAAAAAAAAAAAGGCAATAGAAGTATCTGTCTTCCAAGGCTCATACCCCTCTATTGAGCATATACTGATGCGCAACACAAATAATAGGATTCTGGTTTCTGGTGAACTAGGGAGCTTTGGTTTTGCCTTGGAAAACCAAACGAGAATGCATGTTATCCAGGATGGTTTTATAGATGATTTCCCATTCTTTCATTTTTTCCGATGAACCAATGTTCAAGAAATAATCAGGAAAAGCAAGCAGACAAGCTTTCAGGCATATGGCTCTACAAAATTCTTTGTTACTCAATATACAGATAATTAATTTGCAAAGCCAAGCACAGGGAATTTGTTCATTATCCCGCATCATCTTCCATTATCGCTCTCATGTTATTCTTGCCCCACGTGCACTAGCAGCCAGCTCCACGTTGCCATCTGCCGGCTCTTTGCTTCCTAGTTCAGGATTTTTAGCGGCGAGGCGGCCACCGACGCGGCTCCCGGAGCCTTCTAGGAGCCGCACAGGCTGCCTCTGGAAGCCGCGCTCGGCCCAGCCGGCCCTGAACACAGGCACAGCGGCCAGTCCASGTGCCCTGGGCATCCAGCCCGGCCTCGCTTCTTCACCCCTAACGCCCTTCATTTTCAAAGAGTTCAGAGAGATCAAATACATGCCACGCTTTGCAAGTTGGAGCCAGCGCTGTCCATGCCCCAGAGGAGGCCCGGTGTCAAGAGCACAGTAGGCTTTCAGTTGTCTCACCAAAAATGGGACCAGAGGACTTCTGCTATGAATTTCTGTGCTTCCAGCTGCTGCCTGGTTGCCCATTTCACCCTTGGTGAGGGCTGCAGGAAGCTTTTCTGCTGGACTAACGTTGGCTCCACAGAATGAGACAGCTCTGGCAACAACACCAGTGACACAGACCAGCTCCAGCAGAGCCTTCTGTTAAACCTGAATATGAAGCTGGATTTTAATTCCCTTTTTCAAAAGGAAAAGGAATCTCAGTGATAACCTTTGCACGGCTGGGCACTGCAGAGGCCTGAAAACTGGAAGCGGGAAGTGCAGTCAGTCCCCAGCCCTCTAATGGGCTTGTGTCAGCCCTTAATGTGATTTTAATGATCCTCACTGTGAGACACTGATAATGCAGGTTATTGCTCAAGATGTATTTAGCACTCTGGCCACATCTGGGATTTTGCTTTTACGGGGGAAAAAAATTAAAAGTTAAGAGGACTTTTATGGCCATTAGTCCTTACCAAGGATCACTGCCAGGCCAGCTTCATGACAGAGCATTCTGCATCCCTTCCAGAGCTTGAATCCTCTCAAAGATCTGCGGAGCTGCTGCTTTACCTGTTCTGCTGTATATTTAGGGACAAGCCAAAACCTCCTCAAGAGGAGAAATACACATGGGTGAAAGCCACAGCAATGCAAGGCTTCTTTTTGTTGGAACAAAAACGTAG